CCACAGCCACCCTGGGGCGCACTGACAGAGGCGAGGCTGCCGGACACTGGCGCCACCAGTGTGTAGTATAGCTGATGATAGTAGCATACCACAACTAGACTGATGATGGGGGTTTAAAAAACCCACTTTAAATTTTACATGGAACTGAAGTTTCCAGCCAGTCCTTAAATACTGAAATACTGCTGGTGACTGATGATAGCAAGAAATTATTGCCAAATTCTTTGACCACAAGCAGCTGGAAAACCTCTTACACAGTAAATGTTAGTTTTCTGTTGTCCTGTTTCAAGACAAAAGATTTATTTGCAACAATGGCAGTGGATTATTTGAGTTTGTTGGACTAGACAGGTCTTATTGGATTCTAGGAAGACTGGAGGTCAAGTCACCTTTGTGGTGTTTCTCAACCACCTGCTGAGTAGTTTTTGAGGTATGCATTTTGTTCTTTCTTGCAGACTCCTGCTGTAAGGAGTACCAGTGGGGAGTGGGTACGTTTGGTTTGCAGCAATGTTTTTAGTGGGTGCTAAAGGTCAAACTAATGACAAGAAACGGGGTACAGGGCTCTGGGCCACTGTGCTACCTGTCAAGTAGGGTGGCTGTCAATTCATTTTTTGTACAGTCAGCATACTCACATTAAAAGAAAAAAGAAGCATATGAAGGAGAAAGAAGAAGGAAAAGGAGAGAATTCTTAATGTCATGGAAAAAAGCAGAAAGACACTGATGATAGCATCACTCAAAACTGTTTTACTCACATCTGGAACTAAAAACAGCTGTCTGTGAACTGTAAAATGCATTTATGACTGTGTGTAAATTTAAGTAGCTCTAGAGCAAGTGGATTTTATTTGTCTTAACAAAATAACTGATAAGAGAACATCAATAAGGATTATCATCACTGGTAGACCTACACCTTCTCATCGAGACACACAGGAGGCAGCCAAGAGGTAACGTAGGGAAATGTTCAATCAAAAGTGTTCAGGCAGGCATACAATCTTTATGTAGTGTGCATGTCCTCTCTAGCCCATAGCATCCCCAACCACAAGGTGCACTAGAGAGGTTGCATAAAACTGCCTTGACTCTGAGAGAGACTGGGATGAAGGTCTGCCTTTCCTGCTGTGTGCTGATTGCAAGGCGAAGGAGGAGTATCACGATTTTAGTGTGTAGTATTTAGTGTTTGCACATAATGTGCGAAGGCCCCTCAAAGTGTTGAAAGAGCAATTATTGGCTGTCAACGCACCTCCTCAGACTAACGTCCTTAATTTCGTCAGAGTTCAGAGAACTGTTGCACCATGTCTGTTTTTTTAATTCACTCTACAGTTTAGTGTTTTCTTTTCTTTCCTGGAAGAGTGGAGTTGTAGTAGGTAGGTAGTTGTAATTAGCTGTTTGTAAAATTGTAAAATAAATGTATTTAACACACCCAGTGTTAAAAACGGGATTAAAAGCATAAATATTGATATTCTTTTGATTAAAATACTCATTTCACAATGGGAATAAATATTGATAAAAAGCAATTAAATATAATAAATACTGATACAAAGCATGTAAACAAAACATAAGTTTAATTAATATGTGGATAAATTGTGTGGAGGCAGGACTTTGTCATTTAGAGCGTTTTTGTCAGACACCCTTGGCTCCTACGAATCTAGAACCTGTCTGATCTGGCCCATATTTCCCTTCTGTTCTGGTATTGTTGTTAAAGGTAACTATACTGCCTATACTACATACAAAGAAGGCAAGAAGTAGTGCTAACAGGTCTTACATGCCCACTACCAGTATTACACCACCAGTGCTACATAAATAAAAAGTGCCGAGCCAGCCAGGAGCCTAGAGTGTTGTGTGACAACATTGGAATCCTCTTTGACCTTTAATCAGACAACTCACATACTGTGAAAATGGATTTTGTCGAGAAGTATGCCATTAAAGTACCAAATGCCATCATTGTTAGTGGTGTTTCAGATAGAGAGAAAGACAAAGAGGCATTTGAGTTTCTAGTGCAACATGGTACTATTCGTAGAGTACTCGCTGACGATGATGACTCTTCTGCATTCCACATAAGTCAGATTGTAGAGTTTGAGTCCAGTGCAGCCGTTGAAATATAAGCACCCATGCTGCCGTACCTCTTTCAGTCCACTGACAATCCAGATGTCAGTTACCACATTCGAGCCTTAACTTTTTTTTCTTCTTTTTTTTTGCCTGTCCCGTTTGGCTCTTTTGCCATCAGAATTATTGTCTAAAGGCGAAGAAAGATGCCCAACGGATTTACTTTACCAAA